AAGTAATAATGAAAGAATAAGCAAGGTGTATATGTGAGTGAGTGTGTGTGTGTGCACATGTGTGGTGCTAGGTATCAAACATGTGGCTTTACTCACAGCCAAATTTTATTTTATTTAAAAATAATATAAAGATTTTATTTAGGTGCACTGATATAATTTTACCTTGTGCATAAAAGCATTGTTATCTTGAAAGACAGGGCACAAACACTGGGAATATTCATGAACCAAAAATCTTTCCCTGTTGAGTTATTGAAGAAGTGAAATGCAGTATAGACCATCTATTCTTGTGTATATTATTCTTTAATTAAAACAGGGACTTCTTCTGCATTTCAATATATATTTTTAAATGTTGTTATATATGTTTAAAGCCACTGAAAAGTGAAAAAAGATATATCACCCAAATAAAGATTTTGTATAACACCAAAACTTATTGAAATACCTTGATTACCAGCACACAGCATAGAATTACAACTTACTATTGGTCACATCATAAATGCTAAAGTAATGACAATTCAGGTCAGAAGAAGAAAAATATCACCACAAAAATCTCTTTTATGATTAACTTAAATATGCATCTAATAATCAGAAATAACCAAGTTTTATTGTTATTAATTATATAATATATGCTACATATAAATAATAATGCAATTAAATTAACATGTAATGGTATTATTCTTGAGCTCCTTCCTATTTCCAAAGGAATGAGATGGAATTGTACATTACATCCAATTCATGTATTTACAGGTGCAGTATTGATTAGAAAACCCTCTGGAAAATACTTCTCTTTTATCAGACTCCAATCAATGCTTTCTTATGTTCTCCCTCTGAATAGAAAGATAAAGCATAAAGAAAACTCACAGGAATAAACAAATTAGGGATTACTTTCTAGAGCCACTATTATCCATTAGTTTAACAATCAACCTGGAAAAAGACAAAATTCAGGTGACTCTTCATCTGGGGATGGAAAACAACCAATGTATATTCCCAATCTTTACTAGCATAGCATTTACAACCATAGCATGGTTGATTCATCAGTAAGATAAAAATTGTTTGTATTTTATGTTAAGTGGCAGAAGAAAGGGCTAGGGTACAGAAAGAATTTGTTTATATATGTAATTATATTCATGTTGACATAAAAAAAAGAATGTTTGTAAAATAAGATATCATTGTAATCAATAGTGAGTGTAGTTGATAAAATACAGTAATACTCCACATTAATTAAGAATGTAATTGAAAACTGTGATTTTTTTCAATTGTCATACTTGAGATCAGGTTGTTCTATACTTTTAAATTATATTTAAAACAAAAAGAGCTTTTGTTTGTGTGGTTTATTTTTATAAGTATTTACATATTAGAAATTAAAGCAGAAAATTTTAAATATGTGTCAATTAACTTGTTGAAACGATCCAAAGGGTCTGGGATAACTCAGAACATGCACTTGCAAAACCCTGGGTTCAATCCCCAGTCCAAAAACAAAAAACAAGAAAAGCACAGTAAACCCAACTACTTTTCAGCATAAATAGCACATTATTTTACAAAAGATACATTTTCTAAGTAATTAGTAGACCTGGATTGTTTTATATTTTTCAATTTTTTTAATACCTGTCTTAATAGAAGTTGCTGGATTTCCATGACAGTTATTACATTAAAATGTTGTAATGTCACATGACTGCATACTTTGTTTTGCCTGTCAAAAACTGCATTCTTCATTCCTTCAAGAATCAGAGGGAAAATATGAATGACACCTCAGTGGTGTCGTGAATACAGTTTGGATTTGCAGACCTTCTGAAGGGACCATGTCTGGGAAATGCTGTACCAGAAAATCAAGTTAATATTTTAGCAAAATTGTGGGGTTGTGGGAAAACAACCCCATGATTAGATATCATAGAAAATTGAAATTTAGTATAGAAAACTAAAAGTACGGCTTAGGAATAATGAGGAGAATAATCAAATTATAACTATATAGCAGGTATGGTTTTTTCACAGTAGTTTTTCAAAGGAGAAATGTTAGTCATTAAATCTTTAACAGTTTATTGCTTCTTAAAAATCTTATTGTGTTCCAATCATGCTGCAAAATGTTTACTTCTCTATCTTATTTAATTCTTACAATAACTGTATGACGTAAATAGGATTATTACACTCAAACTCAATATGGGTATATGACCACACAGGTTAATTGATACTCCCATGGTAAAAAGAAAAAAAAAGTGTTATTATGATGATTTGCTTCTGATCTTTATGAACAGTGAGACTGAAGTTTATTTCCCTTTCTCACTTTTTTCTCATGCCCACCCCATCTAAAAAAAGATAAGACATGGAAATTTAGTCATTTGAATACACACAAAGTCTTCTGTGTTCTGTTTGCATAGGAAGCTAAAGAATGCCTCAAATGAAAAATTTGCAAGTCCCTTCAGCTTCCAAGTCTTTGTCATCAGGCAATGAATAGTGCTCTGTGCTGAGTTTATTTTAAATAAATTTACATATGCATGATAGTATAACAGCAAATTTAAGAAGAAATTCATCTGAATCATATACTCAGATAATAAAAATTGCTGAAATCTAAATAAAAGTTTTGAGAAACAAAATATTTCTCAAAAAATAGAATGCAAAAATATTACCTCTTGTGGATGAGGATGGGGGAACTCAGAGGAACCCCTAACGACATAGATAACATTTTATTTCATAAGCAAAGTGATGGATACATGTATGATTATTTTATTACTGTACGGTAATAAATATAATTATACACTGTGTTTTGCTGAATTTACTCTTTATCAAACACTAAGGAGTTGTATTCCCACTAGAAAAAACAGAAAAAGCCAAAATGTGGATAATGGTATTTGTATTTCATCTATAACTGTGACATGGAAATAGTTTATGCTTTATAAAATTTTGATGTGTAGTTCATATTTTAAAAGCAAGAAATAGGCTTCCAGATTTGAGAGAATAATTTGTATAGATTAAGTGGTTTTCAAAGGAAATTACAGCTCTGTTGTTTCATCAGTATAACAAATCATGGTGAAATCCACTGAATGTGGTATGCAAAACATAGCAAAATGATAAAAGTACCCAGAGGGGTGAGGAAGGGAAACACTTTAAGATACTTGGAAAACATCTGGATTCTCAATAGTTATCAGTTCCAAACACATTCAAATTAATTATTATAGGCAGAATTACAACAGAGTTTACAGGGAGGGGGGAAACTAAACGCATTCAACAATGGAAATAACTTTGTAAGAAACATCAAATGTGTATGAAACTACACAATTGAGGAAGACACCGAGTTACAACTTGATTATATTCATAAGTTTCAACAATGATATTTAAGAATCAATAATGTTAAACTGCAGTTATGACACATAGCATATGTCAATATTGTTAATGTTTACATGTAGGCTTGCTAATACAAATCAAATTATTTAGCATGAACTTTTATTTTTTTTGTAAGCATTATATTTCTGGTATGGAATTCATATTATTTGATTCATAACTAAACTTATAAATAACATTTGACAACTAAAGAATTTTATTGTATGGAAAATGTAACTTAGGGCTGGGTGTGTAGCTTAAGTGCTGGAGAGCTTGCCTAGCAAGTATGAGGCATTGGATTCAATCCCTGGTACTACACACAAATAAAAGGTAACTTGAATTTAGTTCTTGTCACTTCTGCTACTATTTGAGAATATCCCAAATTACTGTAGTACACTATGTATCATCATCATATAATTACTATGACTAATAGTGTCCTAATTAAGTTTGACTGCATTTTCTTCCAAACCTTAAGAGTAGAAAGCTATAAAGCTGGATGAAAAAAAATTGTGATTTTAACATTTTACTAGGAGAATATTTATAAGGTTAAATATGATTTAAATTAATTAAATAAATATTCATGCAAGCCACAAACTTTAGTTGCAATCCTCCACAGATGCAGAATCCAAAGCTCGATATAACAGACCCTATAGATGGCCTTGAATGAGAAAAATAATGCTGGGTGGGGGATTTCTGCATTTAAATTGTATTTATCCTTACACATAATGTTAGCATTTAAATACTTTAAGCACCATTGGTTAGCTTTCCAAATTGTCAAGATTTCAACATTATTCCTCATCTGTCAAAGAGCAAATGTTGTCATTGAATTATGTAAGACTTAATTAGACTGAATAAATCTGATCACCTCAGTTCAACTGGAAAAGGAAGCTAAAACAGCAAGGATATGAAGAGGAAAGCTGTATGGGTGTGACTAAGCCTGCTGAACAGAGGAAACAGAGACAAGAGTGTACAAGCATGAAGAAGCCCTGAGACTAGGTCTTAGTCCACCTACTTCACTGCTTGAGTCACCATCCCAGACTCCAGACCACTAGTTATGGATTTGAAAGTGAGGGAGATGAATTTCTGAGAAGCCATGCACCAGAGCTGAAGTGAGAAAAAAGATAATGACAGTATGATGTAATCATTATTCTGAAATTCTTCTAAGACCTTAAATTAATTAATTTTAAACTATAGAAATAGACTCCAAAATTTCCAGTATAATAATTAACATATAAGCCCTTTATGTAGGACTACTTTTTAAGAACAAAAATTAGTTTTGTTCCTAAAAATTTTTAGATATACTTAATACCCACCAAAAATAAAATTTAATTTTCCACACTGAATGCTAAACTAATATAAATAGCAGAATAAATTTGATTCTAACTAAGGCAGGTATTCAACATAATTTCTTTTCAATGAGTTAGTAATTCCATTAGTTATTTTTAAAAATATGAAACATTTATTGAATTATATTAAAGAACTTACTGAATCACGGGTCAGGAAGAATAAAGGACAATATCTAGATAATATCACAAAGTAGCATATACAGTGAAGGTCCTGCATGGTTGTGTCATTAGCATTACTGACTTCACAAATTGTTCTTCTGCTAGGAATATGAGGGGCACTGAATTTTTGTTGTAAAGGTTTCTGATAATTCTATTTTGAACTTTTAATGTGTTTTTATTCCTAAGGTCTGGGAATTGGGAACATGTTCTATGTTTTTTATGAAGATGGAATCAAAGTGATACAACCCATAGAATGTGAATTTCAGAGACACATTAAGCCTAATGAAAAGCTCCTTGGATTTCAGGCAAGTATCTAGAAAATTGATTTGCAGTTTTTGTGCAATTTTGTTATGTAGAATTACATTTTGGAAGTAAAATAAAACATGTATATATATATGAAACTTATGTTGTAAGTAAAATATTAAATCTATGATATTGGCTGTTACTCCATGAAAGTTTAGTATCTGAGAAGGAAAATAAAATAAAATATCATATATTCCAAGTACTAATTTGCAATTAAAAATGAATTTGATACCACTGAAAATTCAGGAATGAACAAAACATGTCATAATTTCCCATTGAACTCCTTAATTTAATGTATCTTCTAGTTATATAGGCAATTATTACTAAAATGGAAGGAAACTGCATGTCAGCAATTTGTGGAAAATTGGGATGCATTGGATGCTTTATAATATTATATATTATAATATCATTTAGTTTTTCATGAATGGATGGGAAATTTAGATTTAGATTGAAAAATATCAATTCCTGTGTTTATTTACTTTTAGCTCCTCTTTACCATAAAGATTTTCATCCATAAAATATGAGTACCAAATTCAGAGTATCAAAAAAAAATCTCTGATATATATTCATTACATATATTCATTAGGGACACTATTTTATAATTATAATTAATTATTTTTATATAGACATGGTTACATGTGTCTCCAGATATATATGTGCTCAAAATATGTAAATACTGAAATTATTTATGTTACCTATTTGCAGACATACACTAAAAATGTAAAATGAGGCTTGTTATAAGGAAGATCTTATCAAAGAGTCTTGTCTTGCTTGGCCATGGTATATGACTAAAAAAAAAGAGATGTTAAATGTCATAGTTTAGGACTTTCATTTTCAACTCCTCATTCTATCGTACAAGAAGCCAGTGTTGCTGTCATGTGCTCATTTATGAAGACAACAATTTACATTTGAAAGACATGCCCTAGGATGAACAGAGGAAAAACATGAAGCAAGTAAGATAAGCTAGACCAGATGCCCCTAGACATTCTATGGGAAAAACCCATCTTCCATTATCTTGTTCAAATAATGATAAACTTTTAATTCAATAAGCCCATGATTACTTACAATAAATGAAAACATTTCTAATTTAAAAATTATTCCAGCACAGGCTAATTTGCAAAAAATACAATTATCACCATTTTTGTTGCTACAGTTTCAGTGCAAGTACAGAAACATTTTAAGTCTCTATATATTTTTAAAACCAAGTCTTATTTTGCTTTAAAATCTTACATTATTAATATTAAGTTCATTTCAACAAAGTACATTTGTATGTATATATTTGTATACTAAATTAGAGGGAGCTTTTTTCTCTCACATCCTTGTTGGAACAAGCTTTCTCTCACTCCTGGTTATTACTGAACCTAACTGGGGCTTAACTGGGGATGACTGGAGATGCAGAAAAGACACAGGATAGACAGACAGACAGAAAGTGGGATCAGGTATGTTGGGCACTCGAGTGAAGACACACAATACTTATTGCTTCTTATCTCTATTATTTTCTTAATTTTACCCTGCTTCTTTTCTCTATCTTTTTTTAAAGTCCTTACTTCTTTACACCTCTTTAAAACCTTGCTTCTAAAGTCTTCTTTAAAACCTCTTTCCTTAGAGTCACTCTGTCCCATGTTTTCTCTTAGGTTTTCTTTAGCTTAGCTTTTCTAAAGCCTATGTATAAAGGTCTCTTTAGCTTTCTTAAAGTCTTGGACCTCAGGATTGCTAGCAATTCCCCTTTTGCAATTCTTTTCCCTTCAACAATCCTTTCCCTTCAGCAATTCTTTTCTCTTCCAAAAGCCTCCCACACCAAAGAGACAAAATCTCAAAAGCCTTCCCCATCAAAAAGCCCAAAAGCAAAAGCCTCAAAGCAAAGGTCCCAAAGCAAAAGCCTGGTGTCCTCCTTCAGGAAGTCTTTTATACCCAGTGGTAAACAGGGTGGAGCAGCAGTTCTCAGGGAGGGGCATGACATTGTAACAGGAGAAACCTGCCATTCCTGCTTCTCTGAATGTAAACAACTTAGAAGCTGCTGTTCTGCATTTCCCTCTTCCATGGCCAGGGCTGTGCTGATCTCGGCCTACAGATAATCTTAGGAAAAACAGTTGAGCTGCATTTCACCTTATGAAGTCCTTATGGGCTTCTTATAATCCATTTCCACACTAAATAAATACACAAATAAAAGCACATATGATAGAGCAATCCATTTAATTTTACACCACATTCATATTTTTATAAAAACATTCCAAATGAATCCAGGTAAACAAGTAGGTACAGAAAATACAGCATGAAAATGATTATTTATATCATAACAAAATAATTCTATAGCAGAGTGTTTCTCTCTGAATCTACATAACCAGTATCAGTGTGGTTGACAGAGGTATCTTAGCCATGTGAATCCAATTGCACACGTAGAGACTCCAAATGTTGCTGGGTGGCACATGTACTCCAGGTTATGAGGAAATGGAGCAAGCCTTAAAGAACAAGCTTTCCACAACAGTTTTGAAGGCTCTGGATGGATTGATTAAACCACTAAGAATCTAAAATTAAGCAAAAACAAGCAAACTTTTGGAATGGTTATTTTGTGCCATGTCTGGGCAACATGAATGTGAACTTTACACATGAGAATATCTCTCTGTGGAGACTTAGAATATTTAATTACATGTCCTAAAACAAAAATAAAAACTGTCAAATTATGGACACTTGTTTCAGTTTATGCAGACATAGGAAGAATGGTGTTGAATGATTATCTGAGAGAATGAGAAAGAGCATGGAGGAAGAGATGATGAGAGAGATTGAGTTTTAAAAGCTGGCTAACACAATTGTGGGTGAGGTGTTAAGTTCAAAGTCAGTGGACCTGGCCAGCTGCATGAAATTTACATAAAGGTTGGTGCTATTTTGTGGGATCCAAAATCCACAGTCTAGTCAGCAGGCTGAGCACTGACACAGAAGTGGATCTTGGAGTCTTGAATCTTCAATTTATAGAGCAGGCTGGAAACATACTCAGGACTTCCATGCCAAAGTCTTGAGGTAGAATTCCTTTTGTTTTGAATTTTGCTATTAATACTTCAACTGATTGGAGAGGCTACCACACTCTAAAAAAGGCAAACTGTTTTATTGAAAGTCATGTGACTGTCAACATTAGTCCCCTCTACATGCATATTCACAACAGCTAGACATTTGTTTGGCCAAACAAATGCGTTGCTCAGCCCAGCCCAGTGGACATATAAAGTCAAACAGTGCATCCTCTATCCCTTGTAATCAAGGACGAGGTTTAATTCATGTTTGCATCCCCAACACACTCAGAATAGTGCTGTTCACATGACAAGTGATCAAGAAACATTGGTTAAATGAATTATTAAAAAATTTATTGCCTGGAGCCTTGGCTACTTGTTGTCTTAAACATTGTCTAACTTTAAAGGTGAACATATATAATACCTTCCACACTTTAATATGTCTCCTGACTTTAGAAATCCCTCAAAACAGTGTTCTTTTAGTTTTTGGAAAATGTTTCATAGAATTATTCATCACTGACTTGTTTGGGGATAAATATACCTTCAAGTGTTTATTAATTCAGGTTTACATGGCTGGAAGGTCCTCTGTGGATGCCATCTAAAAGACAGTTTGGGTTTCTGACATAGAAAAAAAAATTAGTCATCAGATTTAAGAAGATAAATCTCTTGAGTATGATTGGTGGAAATGATCTTTTGGAATTATTTTTTTTCAGACAACAGGACTAAACATGGGTGTTATATTTTTCAAACCCACTGTAAACATTTAGAGAGTAACAGTGCACTTCTAGGACAATATGTGGACAGTAAAGTTCTGATAAATACTGACATAAGTAAAATATCCTACCAAACATGTCAGAAGATGCTGTTTGCTTGCTCTGCATAAAAATTCAACTTTGGTGCAATGTCAGGTGACATTAAAGTTTCAGCTTTTGAAAATAATTTGCTGAGGGCTAAGATAGCGTGCTCTCTGTATTCTTTCATCTCTTTTTTTCTTTTTGTTTTGTGCCTATGAGGTAGGACTATGTTTATTCCAGCTATACTCAAGATTTCATCTCATCACATAGGGTATGAGCATGAAGCAAATATGATTGTATTTCCAACTTAAGGATTCACAACAAAAACTGGAAATGAATCTGGAAAAGGGACTACCAACTTTTTCACTTTTCTGGTTTTCAGTTGCTGTGTCATCCTTATCTATTGCCCTCATAGTCTTTGACAATTTTTAAGTCAGCCAACCATCACTGTTTACAGATTTATCATGTTATTGATCTCACTGATTTTCTTAATGATACCACTGTTATCCTTTCTTATTTTTCTTTTTTTCGTTTTTTTTGGTGGGCCTCACACTCATTAAGCAAGCACTCTATCGCTTGAGCCATGATCCCACCTATATTTGCTTTAGTTATTTTTTAGGTAGGGTCTCGTATTGTTCTCCATGTCAACCTCTGACCTCTGGTCATGATTCTACCTCTGTCTTCCACGTAGCTGGGATTACAGCTATGCCCTTCATGCTTGCCCCAAGGTACTATTTTAAGGGGTACTATAGCACTCTTTAAAGTGATTTTCTTTAAAAATCACCAATATCTTACCATGTATAGGTCTCATATAGGTCTGTACTCAGTTTTAACACTAACTTAAATAATTCTGAGCTTCTACAACGAAACTAATTCTCTTTGTTAAGGAAGTCTGATGTGATTCCCTAAAATGTTCTAGTTTTAAAAATTGTTTTTCCTTTGTAAATAAATAGTATTGCTACTCTATTAGATCAGAATTTGTACATAGGAATAGGTTATGCCTCATGTCCTGAATACTTAGGTATTCAGAACTTGACACCGAGAAAAGAAATGGGGGATCTTAGTCACCAGTCTCTTTCTCCGCTGGCCTCCCCCTTACCTCAGCAATGCAGCCCACAGGCATTTGTCACTCCTCTTTGTAGTACTTACAATTCCCTTTGCAGCATTTTATTCTATTTCTAATACAATTAATGTTTTTTTAAATTTAGT